TTACTCATCAGGTTTTTTTAAAAGCACCCCTCCCTCAACCTTCTTTTGGGGGCAGGGTCTTACTATGTAGGTGTGACTGGTCTAGAACTCATGACAATCTCCTGTCTCAGCCTCAAAGTATTGGGAACCCCATGCCCAGCTAGGGAGACTTCTTGATATGTAGCACCATAAACTTGGTTTAAATCCTTCCTCGGTGACTTTTGACCCTCCTCAGTTACTGTTACCAGTGCTTCCTGTAGCAGGATGGCTCATGGCCGCTGTGGCAGTTTGGCACTCAGGAATACAGAAAAGCATTTTACTTTGTATTCTCTCCACTCTCCTATGGAAAAACAAACAGGCTGCCAGAAAGGAATTTACACATGACTTGGTTGCTCTGGAAATGGGGTGGGGGGCGGTGGGGGAGGGTTCCTCTGAAAACAGCAGGGCCAGCAGAGGCACAACTCAGCTGATGCTGGTTCAGACTTTGAGAGTCTGACCCTGGGTGGTTTATTTTAGGCATATTTAAGCACAACACAATTTGGAAAAGAGTTTCCGGGTGATAATTAACTCAATCCTGTGTACACAACTAAGCTTAAGACATGAAAACTCTTGTGAAGTACAAGTGGCCTCTTTTGTATAGATAGGTTCTATAGTAACAGGAAGCAGCCTCAGGACAAACAAGCTCATAGTAAGGGTCGGGGAGGATAGCTCTATGTATTGACTGAGATAAACAGGTCAAGATAAGGGTCTGGGGGAGCCTTGTGGCCTGGCCTGTGATAGTGCAGAGGGCCTATTAACCACCCCCGCTCCCAGCCTTCTGCGCCGAGAACATGTTATCCATCTCTCCCTATGCAGAGACAGCCCTGCATGTTTAACACCTGGTTTCCCCAGTGCTTATCTGAGAGCACACGGACCTGCGTGCCTCCTACAGGAAACTGTGCTGGGTGAAACCTGCCGCCTTGTGAGCTGTGGCCTCACCCCCTCCGTATATCAGAACATACTGATGTTTGGCCCGCCTTTGTCTTCTTTTTTTGAACACAGGGCTTGTACATGCCTCTTGCCTTTTTTTTTTTTTTCACTTTTTTTTTTATAGCAAGAATCATTTTCTTTTTATTTTATTGGTGTTTTACCTGTATGTAATGTATGTCCGTGTGAGGGTGTTGGATCCTGGAGTACATAGACAGTTGTGAGCTGCCAGGTGGGGGCTGGGAATTGAACCCGGGTCCTCTGGAAGAGCAGCCAGTTCTCTTAACTTCTGAGACATCTCTCCAGCCCCTTTTTTCACTTTCTAAAATGTATTTAGTTTTTAGAGGGGGTCTCACTAAGTTACCCAGGCTGGCCTTAAGTACTAAGTGTTTTATATACATTATTGCAATAAATCTTGCAGTAGCCATATGAAATATGGTTCTTAATGATCCCATTAAAAAAGATTTTACTTACTTTTATTTAATGCATTATAAGTGTTTTGTCTACATGTTTGTGTTTACACTGTGTGCGTGCCTGGTACCTTTGCAGGCCAGAGAAGGCACCAGATCCCCTGGAACTGGAGTTATAGACAGTTGTGAGCAGTCATGTGGACTCTGGGAATGGAACCCAGGTCCTCTGCAAGAGCAGCAAATGATGAAGCATTTCTCCAGCTTTCCCCCTCCTCTTTTCTTACAGACTTAAGTTCTGTATATGCATGTATGTCTGAGGAGGGGTTTATGCATGTAAGTGCAGCTGTCCTTAGAGGCCAGAAGAGGGAATCAGTTCCCCCGGAGTTAAAGTTATTGCCTCCCATGTGGGTGCTGGGAACCAAACTCAGGTTCTTGGAAGAACAGTATCTGGTCTTAACCGTCCGTGTGCCATCTCTAGCCCAGTAATCCCAAATGAGGAAAATCAGGCTGAGGGTAGAACTCGATAGTAGAGCACTTGCCAACCGTGATCAAGACTCTGGGTGCCATCTCCAGTAGTAAGTGAGTGTGTGTGTGTGTGTGTTGGGGAGGAGGCTTGGAATCTTTTTTTTTTTTTTAAGATTTTCAAAACTTTTATTTTATGGCCAGGCAGTGGTGGCACATGCCTTTAATCCCAGCACTCGAGAGGCAGAGGCAGTTCTCAGAGGTGGATATCTGAGTTTGAGGCCAGCCTAATCTACAGAGTGAGTTCCAGCCAGGGCTACACAGAGAAACCTTGTTGTTCCAATCTTAGATGGTCTTTTAATAAAAAATCCAGAGCCAGATATCGGGGTGAACGCTGAAAGATCAGAGAAGCAGAACAGCCATGTGTGAGGTCACACTGGGCCACATGAGAGTCTGTCTCAAATAAAGACCTTCAGGAGTCCTTTGGAGCATCTGTGCTCGCTTGGCCAAAGCCAGTTTCCAGCTCCTGTCATGTAAGCAGGTGAGCCGAGAGTCACGGGGAACGAGTGCTCTAGTCAGCATCCCTAAGTTCCCATTGGGGCCTGGAGGTGGCTCAGCAGGTGAGTGCACTTGTCACCTGAGGACCTGAGGTCCGTCCCCCAGTGACCTGACTTCCACTCGTGGGCTAATGGCACAGCTCCCATATACATGCACATGTCCGCACAAACGCGCATGTGTGTGAGTAAATAACTAACTTTAAAATTCAATTTTAGTCTCATTTCTAAGTGAAAACCTTGTCACTGGAGACCCATTTTGGGGACCCTTACCTGCTGCAGAGATCTATGGTTTAATTCTCAAGAAAACTTGCTTCCTTACACTTCCAAAAAAAATGAGGATCAGCAGAAAGAGGAGTCTGGAGAAGGGGCCAGAGGTGCCATGTCAGGCTGAGAAGGTCTGAGAAAAGCCCCTCAAACAGCCAAGAAGCAGGCCAAGGAGAGGGGGGAGGAAGGCTTTCAGGCAGAAACAGAAGGAAGGGCAGAGGACACTCCGGAGGGAGAAACCAAGGCCAAGGGGGATTCAGAAATCTGGCCGTAAGTAGGCTGTGCCTAAGATGACGGTGACCCTTTTCCATTCCTGTTTAAACATCTGCATTCCCTGCTAACGTCTTTTGCCACCTATAGCTAGAATGAAGTGTTATACTAGAGCCTGCTGTACATTATAGTAAACCTTTGTTCAAAAACAAAGCCGTACGGTGGCTCATTGTCTCCGGTTTTCACTGACTGCTCCTGCCTTAGCTGGAGTTTAAAGTAACTGAGTCTGAAGTCCTGCTGTCCTGCCTTCGTTGTACCCTGAATTCTGTGTCACCCTGAAATAAACCAACTAGTGTAACAGGCTAAAGAAAGAAGGAAAACCCTGTCATGAATGCTTCCCTAGGATTTACAAGACCAGCTGGAAGCTATGATGGAAGATGCAAATGAAATCCAGGAAGCACTGGGTCGCAGCTACGGCACCCCGGAGTTAGACGAGGACGACCTGGAAGCAGGTAAGTGCTATGCAGTGTGCATTAACTTCAGTCTGTGAGGAGCGACTGCCTGGGACCTTTCCCCAAATGCTGGTTAAAATTCCTGTCGGGATCCTGGACATGGTGGTGCACGCCTCGAACTCCAGCACCCCAGAGGCAGAGACAAGCAGATCTCTGTGAGTTCAAGGCCTGCCATCTACATAGAGAGTTCCAGGACAGCCAGAGCTATGTAGAGAGACTGTCTCAAACAAACAAACAAAAACAAAAAACCAGTTCCTATCAGGATGCCCTAGGAGTTGGTTTATGGCACAGTGTGCGGGCAGAGAGCCTGTAAGACAGCTGCATCATCCACCTTCTGCTCTACAGCGCCACTCGGGTGGGGAAGCTGCACAGGGGAGGCTGGGCCAAGGCTCCCTGTGCGTAGTCTCTGTCTAGAGTCCGCACTGGGAAAACGAGTGGGTCCTGCATCCGTTCTTTTTAATTTTCTTACATTATTTATTTATTGGGGAGTACATGTAGGTGCCCTGGCCGTGCTTGTGGAGGTCAGAGGACAACCTGCAGGAGTCAGTTCTACCATGGGGGTCCCAGGGATTAACTCCGGTCATCAGCTTTGACAGCGGTTCCCTGACCCACTGACGGGTTTCCCCAGCCTGATTCCTGTGGGAGAAGTGTAAACTGCCTGCTTGGGTTCTTAACTGTAAGCACACACATGCTTGGGAAGATGTGGGCGATGCCATTGGAAGCACAGAGCAGGGGCTCTAAGCTAACAGTGGTAGGGAGCACTCATGAGACCTGTAGGACAGGCACCAAAACTGCACAGAGAAACCCTGTCTGAAAAACCAGTCAATCAGTCAGTCATTTTCTTTTTTACATTTGTGTTAGAAATATCTAGTTTGAATTAGCCAACTCGCAAGGATAGCCTGGTCATCAAGTGTGGAGCCCTGTAAACCTGTGGGGAGCTGATTGGCTGCTTTGTTTTGCTTCTGCTTTTCATAAATGTTACATACTAGTTTCCTTGAAATTTTCTTTTATAATGGTCATCTTTCATGTGACTAGAAATTAATTCCTTTCCTAGTGTGGGTGGATCTCTGAGTTCTGGGCCAGCCAGGATTAACAGTGAGACCCTGTGTCAAAAAAAATAAAGATAAAATAGAAAATTAAAATAGAAAAAATAAAGATTAAGAAATAGAAATGAGTCCCTTTCCCCTTGCGTTATATTTTTCTCGTTACAAATCATTTGGCTAACTTTTTGACACGAGCGGCCCGTTTTCTCTTCACATTTTCTATAATGTAGCCTGTTGAATTTCAGAGTTGGATGCGCTGGGCGATGAGCTTCTGGCTGACGAAGACAGTTCCTACTTAGATGAAGCGGCGTCTGCGCCTGCGATTCCAGAAGGTGTTCCCACTGACACTAAAAACAAGGTATCGTTTTCCCTGAAGGTGATGCTTAGGTTACTGCCTGTAGTTTCAACAATCCTACAGATAACTGATGTGTTCATAGAGTGGGACTCTCTTTTTAAGATTTACTTATTTTCTGAGTTTTGCCTGCATGTATGTATGTATACTCTGTATTTCCATGCAATGTAATACAGGTTTTATATCTACCAATCTGGAAATCTAAAATATAGTCTTAACAGCCCAGATCATTGTTTTAAGAACTTTTTGGTTTTCCAGGTCCTGGGGACCTTTCACCTGCTGGGCAAGCACTCTTCCACTGGAACTATATCTTCTTTTGAAACAGGGTCTTTTCAGGTTGTTCAGGCTGGCATTGAACTGTCAGGCCTCTGCCACTAGGCCAACTATCTTCATACAATAGCATTTTCTATCATATATGTAATCTGTGATTACTAGCACTAGGTGCTATTTACAGGTTTTACCATTTCCTAGGAAAGCATTGTTGATAGATGCATGAGCCTTGCTTAATGGAAGTATTAGTTGTTTGGGGCGTGTGTATGTGTGTGTGGTGCTGGGAATTTACCCTAGGGCCTCACACATGTTAAGTAAGCACATTATACTGAGTTATATTCCTGGTCTGTTTTTGTTTTGTTAAATTAATTTAGAGACAGGGTCTCAGGTGTCCTTTACTCCTGAACCGAAGCAATCCTTTGGCCTTAGCCTCTCAAGTAGCACTTCTCTATTTACCTTTTGAGTGGTCATATTAAAGAGAGTCCCACTCCTGAGGTGGCAAGTTGGCTCAGTAGTTGAGTACTTGCTGCTCTTGCAGAGGACCTGGGTTCAATTCCCAGCACCCACATATTGGTTCACAACCATCTGTAACTCCAGTTCCAAGGTATCCAGTGCCCTCTTCTGACCTTTACAGACAGAAGACATGCACATTGTGCACAGATATACATCCAGACAAGACTCATACACAGAAAATAAATAAATATTGAGAGAGAGGAGAAAGGAGAAAGAGAGTCCCATTCCAGACACACTAGTTAATTATTTATTGGATTATTTAAACTATGAAGAATAAAACTTAGTAAGTAAGACTGGGAATGTAGTTCAGTTGATAGAGTCCTTACCTAGCATGCACAAAGCCCTGGATATGATGTCCAGATCTCATAGACAGGTATGTAGCCACACACCTGTCACTCCAGTGCTGGGGGATAGAAGAGGAGGAGGGTTAGAAGTTCAAGGCTGCCCTTTGCACAGAGTGAATTGGAAGCCAACCTGAGATACAGAAAGACCCTGTTTTGGGGTGGGATGGAAACCTTAATATTAGAAAGACCCTACCTAGTTAACACAGGAAGAGAATCAGGATTTCTGACACTGACAGATCACTTAGCTATCTTGAGTTTTTCTATTCTTTGCATGTGTGAAGTATCTCACATGATTGTTATTTAGCACAGTCTAGGTCTTGTATGTAAAGGGCTTAAAACTCTCGCTTATAATTGTCATCATAAACAGAGTCCTTCACTGCTTATAAAATTTTACTCCCTCTTAGTTGCTACCGTAATGTGTTATTTGCCGTGGATATTGATAGCCCTGGTTTACTGCTCCCCCCATAAACATACAGTACAGTTGGCCTAGTGTTTGAGTGGGGTCCGGTCCTAAATCTGCCTCTATTCACGCTATAATTCTGAGTACATTCGGAATTCATGTCTTCTCCCTTGTCTTGGTTAGGGTTACTATTGCACTGATGAAACACCATGACCAAAAGCAAGCTGGGGAGGCAAGCCTTACACTTCATACTGGAGCCATCACTGAAGGAAGTCAGGACAAGGGCTCTTAGCAGGGCGGGAGCCTGGAGGGAAGAGCTGACACAGAAGGCTGCTTACTGCCTTGTTCCTTATTGCTTGCTCAGCCTGCTTTTTTATGGCACCCAGGACCACCAGCCCAGGGATGGCACCGCCCACAATGGGCTGGCCCCGCCCACAATGGGCTGGCCCCTCCCACAACAATCACTAGTTAAGAAAATGCCCAACATGCTGGCCTACAGCCCGGTCTTATGGAGGGAGGCATTTTCTCAATTGAGGCTCTTTTTGGGTGACTATAGCTTATGTCAAGTCGACTGACTAGCCAGCACATCTCTGAACATTAATTACTTCCCCTCGCTATAAAATGTGAGGAGCAACGGGGGGGGGGGGGGCAGGCAGATAGTTTTGTAGGCCTTCATATAAGGTCTCTGTGAATGTGCTTCTCCCTGTACCCTGCCTCCTTCCTTAAGCTCAGAGTACCTCTCTGGCTTCTCAAAGTCCCGGGTGCGCAAGTTGCTTTAAATAATTATGTAACTAGCTACTCTTTAGTGATTATGCTGAAGCTATTTTTGTGAACACTAGTGTAACTCACCTTCTCAGTTTCCTAGTAACAAGTCCCTGAAGCATCTGTGCTGTTTTAGCACGGGGCCTCACACTTACTAGGCAAGTATTCCTCCGCTGTGCTGTGTCTCCAGCTCTTTCCGTTTTGAGGACACAGATACCTGACACGGGCTGATGAGTAGCAAAGCATAATGGGAAGTGACTGTCCCCCGAGACACTCCCCTTCAAGGGTTTGCCAGTCTATGAAAGATGTTGGCCCACTGGAAAGATGAGAGTGAAAGTAATGTATTTGGAAGCAAGGACCCCTTGACATCTCCCCCTGGCCTTCGCAGCTACCTTCCTGCTTCTCGGTCCTTTACCTGCAGAGGACCGCCCCCTTTAAGCCTTTCCAGTTCTGTGCCTGATTCAGGGAGAGACTCATTGTCCGCTTCTGGGTGGGATTTTAGTTCCGACTGATCAAACACTTGACCGTGACTTCTGACTACTGAATGTAATCGTCATTTTTACCAAGTAGAAGAGCAGCACTGACTCTCAGTTTCTTCTCACAGGACGGAGTGCTGGTGGATGAATTTGGACTGCCGCAGATCCCAGCTTCCTAGACTTGCAGGATTCCAGCACGTGATGGGAAAAAAAAAAAATACACATTCTGGGACTAGGAAATACTTCCCAATTTGCCAAACAGATTTAGGTTTCTTTCCTTTCTTTGAAGGAAAAGCTAATTACACTGCTCTTGGATTTTATTTTATTTTTTTCCGTTAAGAAATTCATTGCTTGGGGGAAGCTGTCTTTTACTAAAATTTGATTCTTTTTTTTCTCTTAGGAAAGACTAACTGAAAAGTCCCTTTGACTTTGTATGACTTGTTTTCATTCATTAACAATAATTCAAAATAAAACCAAGGAGATGAGACTGTACATTCTACAGCAGTATAAGTACAGTCTCGGTGTGACTTGATACACTGGTAAGATAGAGATTATTAAAGAGATTGAGACTGTTGATAGGATGCTTCCAAAGCGTTGTCTCTTGTGGTGTTATAGTGGGTTAAGTGACGGCTTTTTTTGATAGGTTTTGCTGTGTCATGTGAACAAGTCATTGCTGTCCAATGTTGGAATGAACTGTCACTACTGTATCATGAGTTGCTATTTTGATCCCATGGTTCCCTCAGTATTATAGCCTGACTTGTAATGAATAATGAATATTTCTTGATATTTAATGTATAGGACATTTATTTATACTCAATAAATATTTTTCAAAAGGATATAATTGTAATATCATGTCAGCCTAAAACCTCCACTACAGAAACCAAACTTAACCAGCAGCATTGACAGAGAGGGGAAAAGGTAGCGAGCGGTCTTGGCGCGGTTTGGGGGGTATCATTTCTTAGCTACTGTTTCTTGCTAGTACAGGTGCACTTGCCTCAAGTACAACTCGTGAAGAGTGAGTGAGGAACTAGTCCTAAGTACTCGGTTAACTTTGATGTGCTATTCTCCCATGAGGCACTAACAGTGAAAAAGAAAACCCAGAACGTCGTCCTCTTCTTGTGAACTACCTACAGTAAGTCCAACTGTTGCCTGATTTCGGGGTCTTTATCATTTTGAAAAGTCTGTGTGTGTGGGTGTTGGCCTGCGTGTGTGTCTGTGCACCGTTTGTGTGCGGTGCCTCACAGAGCTACAGACAGGTGTGAGCTGCCGTGTGGGTGCCAGGAATTGAACCCGGATCCTCTGCAAGAGCAACCAGTGCTCGGAACACTGAGCCATCTCTCCAGCTCCTGGCTTCAGGGTCTTTTTTATAGCTCTGTGTGGTTGTTAACCTTGTCAGCCTGGTGGGATTTAGACTCACATAAGAGACAGGCCTCTGTGTGTGCCTGTGAGATTACCTGGATTAGGTTCATTGAAGTGGAAAGGCCCACCCAGTTGATGGCATGACTCTATGAGTGGGGTGCTGGGGTGAGAAAAAGGAGAGAAGGAGCTGATCCCAGGGGTTCACCGCCCTGCTTCCTGAATCCTGATGCAATGTGAGCAGCTGCCTCAAGCTTCTGCCCCCGTGACTGCCCACCATGATGGACTGTACCCTCCAGCTGTGAGCTAGAATAAAGCCTTGTTTTTGAAGTGGGTTGTCAAGTAGCCTGTCACAGCAACCAGACAAGGAGCTAATACATCTTCCTTCTTCCCATTCAGCTTTGAATCAGTCCACTCCCTCTCCCTCCTGGCTTGGCAGCTCCTGTTGTCATGGACACCAGCTTTTCATGCCTATGAGTTTCAGGGATCACTTACATGCTAATGACTCAGAATAATGTCAGTAGCCTTACCCTCCTATTCTCATTTTCAATTTTGGGTGTTCCCCTTTTAATGTCTGTGATGGTTAGCTCTCATTTTCAATTTGATACAACCAAGAATCCCAAGGAAAGAGAACCTTAATCAGGAATTGCCTCCATTGGGTTGGCCTGTTGACTTTGTCTTGAGTTAATTGATAAGAGAAAACCCAGGCCTCTTTGGGTAATACCATTCCTAGGCAGGGATCCTGAAATGTTGAGAAACTGATCAGGGCACAACCAAGCATGTATGTATGCATTCAGGATTCTCTCTACTCTTGACTGTGGATAGGGTATGGCTACTGCTGGAAATTCCTGCCATGACCTCCCCACAAAGATGGACCTGGAATTGAGCCCAAATAAACCTCTTTCTCCCCTAAGTTGTCTTTTGTCTGGGTGTTTCGTAACAGTAACAGAAATGAAACAAGAAAAATATCCTGACATCCAAAATCTAATATATCCAGAGGATACCCATTGTTGTTATTCCTAGGCACTTCTGCAGTCACATGCCTGTGCAGTCAGCAGTCAGGGCCTTGTCCTATGTAATCCATGTGCAGTGTGGTCATGCACGAAGTGTGCCATGTCATCTACGCACATGTGTGGCGTAGCTAAGTAAGCCGATGTATGCATGTGTGAGGTGACCTATAAAAGCAGGTTCTCCCCGATCCCGGCTCTCTCTCCCTCTCCCCACCCCCTGCACCTTTCCTTTTGGCCGGCCTTCCCACCTCCACCCTTCCCCTTCTCTAGTAAAAACTTATAGTGGGTTCCATTGTACCTCGTGTTTTCTTGTGCCCGGTAAATGACACCAACAAATAAATAAGAGCCATTACCTGGGATTATCTCAGCAGACATTCTTTCTTCCTTTCATTTTCTCCCTTTTTTAATTCACAGTTTTTGCTGTGTTATCAAGTTGGTTATCCACTATTATTTCTTGTGACTGGTTGTCTTGGCATGTTTTCTGAAGGTATAACAAAATACCACAGACTGGGTAGATTAGAAGCAACATGTTTATTTGACTCAGTTCTAGAAGCTAGGAAGTCCAAGGGAGGGGTTGTATTTGGTGAGGGATCTTCTGGCTACATCATAACATGGAGGAAAACATCACATGGAGAAATCATAAGAGAAACAGTTTGAAAACAAGTAAAACCCATCGCTCTAGTCACAACCAATCCACTCCTACAATGATGGCCTTAATCCATTCTTAAGAGCAGAGCCCCTGTGCCCTGTCCACCTCTTGAAAGGTCCCACCTTTTAGTACAGTTACAATGGCAAATTAAATGTCAACACTGAGTTGGAGGGGGTCTAAATTTTTTATTAACTTCTTTAATAAACATTCCATCTTTAGCCTTAGTGTTAATACTCTTGTTGTTTAGTAAAATGCAAATGCATGGCCTTGCAGTAGTCTATCCGAGGCTTCTCAGTGGACTCTCAGTGACATTGCCACCCAGGAAGCAGTGGCAGTACAGAGCACACTCGTTCCCTAAAGCTCCTGCATGACTCCCCTGGTTTGTCAAGTAGGATTTCTGGAACGGCATATGAAGGAGTCAATACTTTGCCTCATCTTGAATGGTGCTGTCTGCTTCATTTTAATTTTCACCCCCAGTTGGATAGGGTGCTCTTCCTAGAAGAAACTGTTCCCCCTGGAGACATGTTCTTCTCTCAGTTCCAGTTGGAGTCTCACGCGAAAGCAGCCCAGGCGTGGCTGTGGGGTAAGCCTGGTCTGCAAAGGTTTGCAGCCTCACGGTGTCTATGTCTGCAGAGGACAAAGAGCGCTTTTAGAAGTGGGCCCGCTGCTTGGAGATGTGTTTCTTTTCTGTGCATTGATCTTGACTTATTCTCGTTTCCGAAGTAGCCTTTGTGGCGCTATTTCATTTCTTTTAGAAAGGTGAATTGCTTGAATGAACAGGAAGTTGTCTTTTCTCAAAGCTTGGCTGCAAGCCTTCTGGCTCTCCCTTAAGTAGCTTTCTCCTCAGCAGCCCACGGTAGCCATACTGCACTCACCTCCAAGGTCTTGTATTGTTCATTTCTGATGGGTCACATTTGGCTGTCCACATACACCATGTTAGTCCACCAAGGGGCCATCCTTCTACCCAAGTCTTCGCTGTGCCACAGTGTTTGTTTCTCCTGACCTCTGAATGTCCCTCTACAGCTCTGAAATCCCCTCTCTGCCCCTGTTCATCAGGATTCCAGTTTGTATCCACCATACTTTCTTTGCTCAATTGTTAGCCACCCTCATGCCTCCACTACTGACCTCCAGACCTCCACTGCTGACCTCCAGACCTTCACTGCTGACCTCCAGACCTTCACTGCTGACCTCCAGACCTCCACTACTGACCTCCAGACCTCCACTGCTGACCTCCAAACCTTCACTGCTGAC